GTCAAGAGATTACTGCAAAACCTGTGGGCGTAACGGACATACAGAAAACAACTGCCTGAGGAGGAATAAATGTACCCACTGTCTGCGAGTTGGACACACTGCTAAGGAGTGTCGCACCCGCATTGCGCAGGAGAGAGAGGAAAACTTCCTCCGAAAAATATCGACTGAGCAGGCACAAAACAACGCTTTACTGTTCAAAGTCTCAGTCGACTCCTTCCTCCTGCTCCTCATACCCCTGGTCCTGCCTTACCCCAGCCTCTCGCCGGTAACTGGGCTCCAGGACATCAGACATACACACCACACCCACAACCATTCTACCCCGCTCACGCCCACCCATACACTCTCCAGCCGCTTAACCCCATTCATACAGCCTGGGGTCATGCCCGGCCGTAAGTCTCGAGACCAACTGACCATCATATCTGCCAATGTCCGGGGACTTTTAACGAACATCGGGGACCTCGTGAATAGTCACGTGATTCCTCGCACCCCAGACATCGTTGCAACAGTCGAAACATTTATGAACGAATCAGTCCCTGACAACTTTGGGCACATGAAAGGCTACACAAGGTGGCACCGACGCGACAGGACACACGGAACCTTTGGTGGTGTCGCTGTCTCTTTTCACAAGAGCCTGTCAGTCCAACCACTTGATGTCGATCTTCCAAATCATCTGGAGATTATGTTCTTCAAGATATGGGCTCAACATCAGACAGTCTTGCTGTGTGTATGTTACCGCCCACAATGGCAGGGTAGTGAGCCCATTGTGTTCCTGCAAACTCACCTTGATGAGCTGTTGCAGCTACACACTTGCAACCATGTCATCATCGTTGGGGATATGAACCAACACCTGGTTGCAAGATCCTTCGAAGAACTCCTCACAGTCCATGGCCTCTTCAATCACGTTGATTTTCCCACCCACATTTCCGGCTCATCTCTTGATCCTGTCGTCAGTGACCTGCCGGACAGCGTCGTCACCTGCTCTCCACTCAGTGCCGTGGGATCGTCAGATCACATGGCTATTCTGACTTTGATTCAGATCACACCCCAGAGGGATGGCCGTCACACGCACTAACTGGCTGTGGGGCAAAGCAGACTGGAATGGTCTCTGCAACGCACTACAACAAGAGCCCTGGAATAGCATCCTCGTAGGAGACGTCAATAATCAAGTTCACACTTTCACACACACTCTACTCAAGCACCAAGAGCAATACGTCCCCTGCCACTCCTACACTGTCAAGCCCCTCGACCAGCCCTGGTTTGGCTACCAGTGTAGAATGGCAGCTGAAAAGAGTCGTGCCTGGCGACTCTACTCACGCTCTTCTACCCACGCTAACAAGGAACGCTATAGACGCGCTTGTGCAGCCATGCGACAAGTTCAGCAATGGGCTCAACGACGCTGGCAAGAAGATCTTAAAGCCAAACTCAGCGGTCGTTCAGTGGGTAGCAAGACCTGGTGGACCACACTCAAGCAGCATCAAGGCCTGGCACCAGATGATGATGTACCACCACTACAAAAGCCTGATGGTACAGTGGCCACCAAAAATAAAGACAAGGCTGAGATACTCGCATCCTTTTTCTCCAAAAAGATGTCAGTACCCGACCCTGAGCGCCCGACTCCATATGTGCCAGCCCTCACAAATGCGAGCACTTCTATTTTCACTATCACTACCAAGGAAGTGCGGCAACGTATGTCACAAGTTGCCACTAACAAGGCATTGGGCCCAGACAATATAAGCCCTCATATTCTTAAGCGCTGTGCCTCTCAGCTGGCAACGCCCCTTACCACCATTTTCCAGCAATGCATCACCACTGGAGTGTGGCCCACCCTCTGGAAAGGCGCCAGAGTAGTGGCAATCCATAAAAAGGGAAAGAGGACTGATCCCAAGAACTATAGGCCTATCTCTCTTCTCTCAGTTCTTGGTAAAATACTTGAAGCCATCATAGCAGACAAAATATCATACTTTCTTACCTCACACCAGCTCCTCAATAACAAACAGTTTGGCTTCCGAACGAACAGGTCAGCAGCAGACCTGCTACTTCAGTTATCCACCACCTGGCAAAAGTCCCTAGACCAAGGAAAGGACACCTTCATCATTGCTCTCGACATAGCGGGAGCATTTGACAGGGTTTGGCATCGCGGCCTCATCACCAAGCTAAACAGCTTGGGTATCCGCGGTCATCTGCTCCACCTGCTCCAAGACTACCTGCAGGGCAGATTCCTCAGAGTGGTCATGAACGGGCAAACATCTGACGAACATTCCATCCATGCCAGTGTACCACAGGGTAGTGTTCTCGGCCCTCTCCTCTGGAATGTCTTTTTTAACGATTTGCTGCAGCTCATTCCAGAGGCATATGCATACGCCGATGACTGCACCCTGACATTCCCCTGTGACAGTAGTGACCACCGCGCGACAGTCGCACATATCAACCAGGTCCTACAAACCATCATCGTATGGGGCGCCGATGGCAAGTGGATCTCGCTCCCGAGAAGACGCAGGTAATGCTGGTCTCCCGAAGACACAGTCCCCTTGACACTCCCATCCCTACTATTTTGCTTGATGGGAGGGCGCTGCCCCTGCAGGCTTCCATCTCCATACTGGGCGTGGAAATGAACAGCGCCCTGACCTTCACTGGCCACGTCAAGACCATAGCCAGGAAAGCCGCCTGGAAACTTAATTGTGTCCGGCGGATAGCACATCTCCTCGATTCCCAGGGAATCTACACCTTATATGCAGCTCAAGTCCGCTCCCTCATGGAGTATGCCCCTCTCACCTGGTCATCCTGCCCCCCTTCATATTTAGGCCTTCTTGACAAGATTCAGCAAAGGGCACAACGCTTGATATGTTTGAAGGCCCCGCCAGACCAATCGTCTCCCCTCATGCAGCCCCTACAGCAACGTCGTGATGTGGCAGGTCTGTGTGTCATCTACAAGACTCACAAGCAGAGCGCCCCGCACCTGACTGCACTCCGCCAGCCCTGGTCTCAACCACACGGCCACGCCACCCGCGTTGCCGCCACCGGGGATGACCAACTCGTCGTCCCTTTCGCCAGGACGGAAACCTTCCTCCGCTCCTTCCTCCCGCGCTACACACGAATGTGGAACCACCTAGTACAGCAGACTCAGCTTCACCGCACCACCTCATTACACACCTTTAAGTCTGCTGTAAATGCTTGGATCAAACAACCATAAAATGTAAAAAGATTTGTAGAATGTATATACGTGTATGCGTATTTGGGTATTTGGGATGTCTTAGTTTCAATTAGTGAATGTACATGTCAAAGATAGTTCTCAGTAGTCCTACTGAAACTCCTGACTGAGCAATGTATATATAAAAAATAAAACAAAATAAAAATAAAAAAAAAAAAAAAAAAAAAAAAAAAAAAAAAAAAAGAGAAAGAGAGAGAGAGAGAGAGAGAGAGAGAAGAGTGTGTTG